TCTTGGTATGGTTTCCATAGAAAATTTGCAATCATCACTAGTTGCAGTCTCAACCTCCTCTGAGCCAGATCGAATAGATAGGTTTCCAGTTGGCTCCTGGATAGAACTGTTTAAGATTACACTCCCAGGTGTAACAATCTCTCTTTTGAACGTTCCGCATGTAGCTACCGTCTCCCCACCAATTCTTGATTTGTCATGTAGTGTTGCTCCACCAGCAGTTTCCACAGGCATCAGAGATGACTCTTTTCCATGACATGATTTATCGGCACGAGCAAAAACAGAGCCTCTAACATTTTCAATCATTTCCTTCAACTTTTGAAACTCCTGCTCATAAGCTGCAGGAATTGGTCCATCAGTAAAAACTGTTTACAAGCACGTCCATTCGCTTGGAAAAATGTTGTCCATACAATTAATAGGCAAGATGATAGAGCACTTCCAAATCACCCAAAGCCCAGAACCATGCTTGTAAATTACAAATCAGTATGCTATTCATTTGTGCGGCAATTGCACCACCATATGCAATTGAAGTTGAAATGTCTTTGAATTTATAAAGAAAATATATCATTTATCTTAACATTGACACAGTTGTGTTACAACAATACCCCATGTCCCAATCTATTCTGCCATCCTACAATGCTTAGGAGTGAAGCAACAGCAGGATTATCTTTTACAGTACATAAAACACAGCATACCTGAATCTTGAGGATTCTCAGAGGGAAGACATGGCTGGTTTGAATCTAAAATCTGACAATAGACTTCACTATCCACATAAGACTGTTGAAATTCTTTTAGATGAGAAATCTGAAGTGGTGAAGGCAGCTGAGAAAGTAATCCTCCATTGATCGAGGAATCTGGACCATGGACATTTCCTGGTTCACCAACTAGGTCAACCACGTATTCCCTGTTAAGATATGTATACTCGTCTATTAACAAACGGTTTGAAATTTTGGGAAATTTTTGAAATTAAATTCCATGATACATGCTATCAGCTTTTTTGGAATAATGGTGTATGCAATTAGTTCATTCAAATATATACATCATCACATATTAGACACTAGATATGGGAAACTAATATATTAACGCCAGCAAGATTGTAACGGTAATAAACCATCAAAGGAAATTAAAGGAGGTCAAGAGCTGGAAGCACAGAAAATGAACAAGAGTAAGCCAGATGAGTGCTATATGACCAACTAGTAAATAATATTTAATGTCAGGGAAAATGTCAAGAAGATAAAAAAGAAATTATATACATCACCAGGGAGCCAAAGTAAAATTAAGACAACTTAAACTCAGCGTGTCCTGGACAATATTATTTTTCAGAAGAAATATCAGTTTATTATCTATAAGCTCAAAGGAGGTGCAACCGAAGGAGTGAGGACAATATAAAGAAACAAAAGTTAAAAACTAAGAAACTCCTCTCTGTTCTATATTTTACAAGAAGGCATCAAATCTTATCAATCACTTCACAGTCAAAGCAAGATTCTCATGAAAATTAAAACCCATGTAAATTAAAATAGTAACAAGCGGAAGATACCCAACCTTGACAACTGCCGGTCATCTTTGATTTTGACAAGGCAAGATGATCGATGGTCTGCCATGCAATACCTACAACCTCGAGCTATCCTACATGGCAAACCTATGTAGTCTGCCAATTTCTGCAGATGTAAAACAATGTATCACGTTCTCCAGACCAGTTTTAACTGAAAAAACAATTTCCTTCTATCCATCTTTCACAAGAAGCAATTTTTAATATGAAACATCATAATATTGTAGCTTTCTAACAAACCAAAAACTTGGCCAGCTTACGTTGAATTTGATGGGGAAAAACAACCTAAAATTTGTTATGGCCTCTTTTGTGCATCTGAGACAGAAACAGTTCATCACTACTTTGCTGAGATAAGCATATAATCTGTTTTATAATCCTTTCTCTTTTTGGCTTAAGAGTAAAAGGGTGATAATAGATAGGACGTTAAACTTGAACAGAATAGTCTGATTCAAGGATCCAGCATCTTTCGATGAGAGATGTTTAACTGGGGGGGGAAAAGAAAATCTAAAGATACAGCTTTTTTAGTGATATCTTACATAAACTTTTGAAGAGGGAGGCTACTTAATTTCTTGAAAAATATAATAGTATTTTAAAAAAAAAAAAGTGGAAGGGGGGAGAACGGACGATTTAATCAGAAGATTTCTTATGAAAACTCTAAATGGGCAAACGTTTCAGATAAATTTTATCATTTTTACGGTACCAGTACCTCACTGAATAATCAAGTATAGAGTACTCCTAATGGGTTGCTCTATATAACTTTGGGGTTCATTAAAGTAGGTGTCTCTAAAAAAAATGAAAGAAAAATGAGTGGGGAACAGATTGCCAGAACTGGCCATCTTTAAGTTTGATGAACCGAGGAGCATTCAGTGACAATGTTAAACAACAACAAACATGTCAGGAAATTTCAAACAGTATATGCTTACACGTTTCTTACATATCCATTAAGGAAATACAAAGAATATAAGACTCATTTTGTCACCTTGAATAAAATGGCACGATGCCTGCAAAGCCCCATAGATAGGCTGCCAACCGGAATCACAATACATTTCTGAAAATCCCTCAGCTTCCTGCTAACCATTTTCCAGCGTTTGTGTAGATCGCCTTGTTCCACCGGGAAAGATCCCCTTAAAATTCAAAAAGTGAAAGTTAAATATAAAGATCAGCTAAAAGAAATAGCCAAACAATAAACCAACAAAAACTAATGAAGGGTACCCCATGTAATAGCACAGTTTGCCTAGTTGTTCTACTAACACCAAGGTATTCTCTGAAGCACAATATAACTCCTGTGCTTTATCTTCTAGTTCCTTAAGTCGCCAGTCCCCTCGTCTATCGACAAGAACCACCTCCATGGGCATCTCACTGGGTTCGATTTCCTTAAGCGACAAGAGAGGTGGCAACTGTCTTCCTTCCTCCCAAGTATTACACATCACCCAGAGGTACGGGTTCATCCCCAAAATGTTATAGAATCCATCTGATATCTTGTCACTATAAGATAAGCAACCACTTACCTGAAAAACAAATAGAGTCAACATTCATTTGCAGAAAGTTTGAAGTTCACACTTACAGATACATGGAACTCAACGTTTACTATTGCCAAAAAATATTTCACTACTGTAGTGAAAATTCTCAGACAGAGACGACAGATGTCAACACCAGATCAGGAAACGGAACCAAGATGCAGCGTGAGGGATCCCATAAACAATCCCTTCAGTATGTAGAAATAGAGATTGTAGATATATAGTTTAAATACCCAGAGACGATAGGAGACAGTTTCAGCGTCGACAATATCAGGTCCGAAGTCATTTAGGAGCACAGGCTCACAACCGAGACTTGCTTGCATAGTGAGCTTCCTCGCCATCGTAAGCTGCAAGTAGAAGCTCTCTTTGGCCCTTTGTGTCAAGCTTTCTTTACTCTCATCCTCCTGGGCCTCCACCTCCACTTCCACCTCCTGCCTCGTTGTCGACAGACGCGGGGACGTGTCCTTCACATCGATGCTCGAGAAGTTTCCGTCCAACGTGGTCCCCGAAAACAAACTCCCGGCGTAACTGCTACCGCTCGACAGTCTCGGCAGCGATACTTGCCGGCCAAAGCTCCGTTCGTCTCTCGGGTCGTTAACCACTGCCACAGCTTCTGACGGTGTAGTGGTGGTGGTACTGGTGATGGCCTCGTGGGGCGGAGAGAGGAGGAGCTCACGGTCCTCATCGATATCACTGGAGTAAAGCCGAGCAAGTTTAGTCTGATTAGACGATCTCTCTCCTTTCTTCTCCGCCAACCACTCGCAGAAATCGGCGAACTGTTGCTTCTTGGTTTGGTACTTGTCATCAGTGCCAGCTCCAAGTCCCGATAAAAGATCCGAAACAGTAGAGTTTTTAGTGAGAAAGGGTGACAAATCCTTATTTGAGGACGGTTTCTTGGGGTCTACTTGGTCCTTTTCAACGTGAAACGAGTCTTTTTCAGCAGAAGTCTTCTTCTCGCGATCACCGAGAAGTTGCTTAGCCGATGCATCAAACCCGCGATCCGGGAATTGCCTAGGGAAGAAGTAAGTGGTTCGGTGAGGCATTTCTACACGGGCCTCAAGGGTCGACGATCAAAAAATCAAACACACCACCTAACCCAACCCCCGAAGCACGCGTCAATGCACGCACTCACGCTCTTCCTCTTCTTTTTCTTCCTCTTTTTTTCCCTCTTCCTCTTGCTGTTACTCTCTTACAAAGTTCGGGAAGCCAAATGGACTATCAATCGAATCAGCAGCTAACAGAATAAGCCCTGCAAATCGATGAGACAGACAAGTTCAAGAAGGCAAAGAGAAACAGAAGCGAAAACACGCATTTCATGTCGTTTCTCAGTATGTTATCAGCAAATGCCTCAGATTTTTGAATACAATCCACTACTCACCGCCAAAAAGCTTCAAAACCAGGGATCATCAAAATCGAAGAGATAGACAGTGCAAGCAAAGAGAAAAGAAATTTTACTTCTACTTCTTTTTCTTCAAACACGTCACTGCAGAGTTCAAGTATAGAGGAGGCAAGTTTTCCAGACGAAGGGAAAGTAGGCTTTTGATTTAAAATGGAGAAGCCGTGAGAGAGAGAGAGAGAGAGAGAGAGAGAGAGCGAGAAAAGAAAGGAAGCAGAATGGTGAAAATTTGCTCGTTGTATTTTAAGCTTGAAGGAGGAGGAATCGGTGGGAAGCTGGCTAAAGAAAAAAATTGATCAAATGGGTAGAAACGCCAACGGGCGCGTCCAGCGTGAATGCGCACTTTTTGTATAGAGAGCACACGTAAGGCTAGTAGCAAACGTCCTGACGACACGTGGCCATGTGGTGGCGGTGGTGCGCAGAGTGGGCGCAGCGCGTAATGCGTTCAGGTTAGCGGGGTTTTGCGCCTGGAAGGAACTATGAAATGACGAGAATGTCCTTGGGATTTTGACTGAACGACGAGGCAGGGACCTGTCTGAGGAACTCAAGGGGCTGTGTGGCTTTTCTTGGATTTTAGCTCGTAACTGCATGTGACGGTTTGTTGGAGTTGCCGAGTTGATACTTGCTATTGGTTTATGACTGTTGTGCTGTAAAGGCCTGATTTTTGGCTTACGAAATTATCAAATGCGATCGAGCTCACAACAAGTTGTGTGAGTAGAGATTCTTAACGGTTGGATCAAATAAGGGGTTATTTCAAAACTATATTTCTTTTTAAAAAATAAAATATAAAACACTTCATTATTTTAATATTTTTAATTTAAAATAGTAAAATATTTGTAGTTATATATAATAGGAATAACTAAATTAGCAATGATATTGGAATACAATAATAATAGTATAACTTGCAACTTACTTTTAAAAATATCATAAAAAAATTCTCTTACATTTTAGTAATATATCAAATAGGCTATTAATAATTTGATGGACCCAAATAATATTTTATATTT